GGCTTACAACTTTCCAAACCAACACTTAGTTTCAAAAAGAGAGTGCTAACTCAAAACACATTAAGCCCTTGGCTTGAATTTACATGTAATACCAAGAAGATAACAACAAAAAGATCTTTCAGCCTCTAAGCCACCCAAGCTACGTCCTTAGAGGTGGCATATCACCTGAACCTGAAAATGATGTCTCATATAGGGTGAGCCAAAGCCCAATAGAGATACACTAAACCAAATATGAGCAATAACTAAAACATTAGCATTTGATAAATTTTTAACTCATATAAACAAAAGTACATCTCTTTCATAATCAATCCATATTTACAAATATGTTTCAATTCCTTTTTCTTGTTTTATTATCCAAACCAATTCATAGATATGGTTCTCTGTTTATCCAGCCAGTTTAAAATGAGACTAAAACTCATATTAACAATGTTTCAATCATGATCAATCAAGGTGAGACTACAACTCACACCGTTAACACTTCAACACTTCAATTTCGAATGAGACTACAACTCATATTGTTAGCATTTCAATACTTCAATTCATCTACGTTATGCAAACGCAATTGGGATTTTGGGACTTTCACCCTGGACACTCCGGCCAACTTAGTTATCAATGGAGTCCATCCCCTATCTTCTCCCAAACAGGTTTGAGAGTACATTCTCTATCTCCTCCCAAACAAGATACATATGCAACGTATTTAAACAGTTTATCATATACAATGATCAATCCAGGCACGTATTCAATGTGTTAATTCAACCGTCATATTCAATGACTTAACCATTCGATTAGTTTTAGTTTTCCCTAATCAACATACAGTATCTACAACAATCAAAACTATCCTCCACCGATAGCCCAAAGCAGTTATTTCCAAATAGATAATAAATTCATCAAACAGATAAATTATCAACAATTTCTTAGATGAGTGATTAACTAATCCAACTACACCATTCAATCTCACAACTTCCCAATTTCCTGATTTTCATCTCAATTTCACATTCTCATACTTTCCCAAATTAATTATACAAATTAATTAATCACATTAAATTACGGCTTTTCCCCCTTTTTCCCAACTTTGGCCCTAAGGCTCATTTTCATCTATTCGACAACAATAATTCCATTTTTCAAGGTCTCACATACACATGGAGTTTAACAATTGAAAACCCCCTTTTTATATAATTTCAAAACAAACTCTAACTTCCCAAAATTTCCATAACTCACCATTTAATCAAAATGACTAAAAGTCATGTCAAAACTCATAAGATGGAGTAGTTTATCCCTACCTCAAATGAAAAGACCCAATGGAGAAGATGAAGAAAACTCAAGATGCTCCAAACCGAATGATTTTCAGATCAAAATGAACCCCACACAAAGCTCTACCTTTCTTACAAAGGGATTAGAGTAGAAGACTCCTAGAACATGGAGTATTTGTAGAGAGAAGGTATGTAGAGAGAGAGAGCAACCGGATCTAGGGTTTGAAGATAAAGGATAGTCAAAAAAGTGAGGAAGAAGCTGCTGCTGCGAACTGATATAATCGACCCTCACTTGAGCGAAGGAATGGTCGCTCGAGTGACTAGACACAAAGAAACCTCGCTCAAGTGCAGAAAACCTCACTCGAGCCAACAACACGAAGCTTCAGGTCTGCAACCCAGAAGCACGCTCGAGCGCAGAAGTCCTTGCTCGAGCGAAGAAACCCAAAACATACAGCTCGCTCGCTCGCTCGTTCGCTCGAGCGAAGGAAAGCTCGCTCGAGCCAAGAAACACAACCTTCAGGTCCAAACTTAGACGCAGACGCACGCTCGAGCGCAAGAATGCTCGCTCGAGCCAACAGACACACCACTCAAATCTCGCTCGAGCGAAGGAACTAAAACACAAAGCTCGCTCGAGCGAAGACACCAAAAACTAGGCAGCAACCACTTGTTTCAAAACACTCCCAACCTGTTACAAACCTACCCAACACATCCTAAAACTCAAATACAAAGAATTAAAGGACGGAAATGCAACATATACAACAACAGACATTCACGGAACCGAGTCCGGAATACAATAGCCAACGGAGGAAAAACCGGGATTGCTATACGAGCCACCATGCAATTCTCTGTAAAACTTCTGGGAGCTCGATTTTTACGCCCGAGCGACACTTTCCTCGCTCACGGGCAGGTCAAATTCTGGAATTTCCAGAATTGTTTTTGAAGCTCAAACTTTTCATGGTTGGTACAAAAACATGGAAAACATTATAAAATATGGAAACATAGTTAATTTGAAACCAATTGCTCAAAATCATGGTAAATTCTCAAACCAAAAACTTTAACTTCAAGTTATAAACCTTGTTTGACTCAAATTGAGTCTATATGTCTTCAAAACTTGATCAATTAATATGAGAGGTATGAAAACATGAAGGACTCTTCAAGTTGAGGTGTAAAAGTGCCATGCATATAAGAATTTCAAGAATTCTAAACTCAATTTATGCATGCATGTACATAGTTCAACCCAATTCTTCCAATTCAAGCTAATTCATGCCTCTAATGTATAATTCCATGCAAATAAACTCAAAACTTAGATGTATTCAACTTCTACATATTTTATTTACAAGGATTAGGATTGAAGATCATACCTAAAGCTTGAATTCAAGTGTCTTGTAGCTTAATTCTCCAATTCTCCTTCAATTCCTTCACAATTCTCTTCTCTCTCTCTCTAAGTGTTGAGTTTACTCTTCTACTCTCTTAAAATCTCAGCCAAGTGTGTGTATATATATGAGCTCAAGACTTAATTAGGGCCTTATATAGGGTGTGATTTATGGATAATTAATCCTATTCAATTTTAATTGATTCCAATTATTTTGGTCCGAATCAAATTTTGACGAAAGTTGTCATAAAATTCTAAGTATTCTAATTAGCATATTGGGCTAGTCAATTTTGGCTTCTGAAGCTGTTTAGGCTTTCAATTTATGATTCTAAGTCGATAAGTGAACAGATATTCCATGTAATAACAAATAACTACAAAATTAAGCATGTAATCACATAATTAACACACAATCGTGCAATTAAGCTTATTAAAACAATATATTATAATAGTACGGAGGTCGGGGTCGTCACACATATGGTGTTATTGTTTAGGATCATTGGAATTTCTACTGGACTATATATATTCATCCCACATTGTTGAAACTTTTCAGGTACAAGACTAGAAGAATTGTTTCTGGACTTGAAGTCACCTTACATGCAGGCCTCAGGGCCCATTAATTGTTAGGCGGAATGCCATTATTATGTATATAGGGTTAATCCCTTTTTGTTTATTCTTCTTCAATGTAAGCGTAAGGGTATTGTAAGTGATTGTATCAACATATCGTCATGTTCATATAAGAAGGGGATTATGTATTGCTATTCTTTTATTTTCTACGTCCGCATTTATATTATGGAGAAAGGGATTTTAATAAAGGTTCATAATGGATTTAAGTAATAAAAGTCGGAGTATTACAGTGCTTGTAGTAACAATGACAACGGTGATCAAGGTGGTTGTGGTGGTGACGGAAGGGTGTTGGATGCTGGTTGTTGTGGTGGTCATAGCGGCGGTGGATGCGGCAACGACAATAGTGATAATGTTAATGGTAGTGGCGGCGGCAATGGTGATGGCAGCGGTTGTGAGATTATAATAGTGTATGTTATTACTTACGTATAAGAATTTATAAATTCAATTAGAATTAAGTAAGTTTTCTATCATTTGAGATTTTCTTAATTTTTAGTTTACATTTTAAGAACTACTTAAATTTTTAAGTGATACAATTTGTGATTATCAAATGGGCTTCATTAATTTTTACTTAATATATTTAGTTTTAAGTCTTAAATTAGGTTATCTAACGTCACCAAACTTACGTGCTGTTTGATAAAATTAAAAATTGAAAATTAAATGCTAAATTTATTAAGCTAAAAAGCTATTTAATAAAAATACAAGTGTTGACGTAAAACAAATTGTTTGATATATATATATGATACTAAATTTAAAATTTAAAATTTTTTATTTTATAATTTTATATTGTGATAGTGAATTGGTGGGAGTGGTAGAGGCAACAATAGTAGCGCCAATGACAATAATGGTACAGATAAAGAGATAGTGGTCGTAGTGATGATGGAAGGGTAATGTAGTGGTAATGAAAATTGGGTTGCGATAGTGGTGTAATGATGGTGGTTATTGTGGAGATGGAATGATGGTGATGGGTTGTGACAACGATGGTAGTGGTTGTGAATGTGAAGAGTTATAGTACTTATTGAAGTGGTACTTGTAATAGCAGTGGTGATTGTTGTAGTGGGAGTCAAATGATGGTAGTATTTATGGTAACAATGATAATGATAATAAAGATGATGGTCGTGGAAAGTTGGTGGGTGGTGGCAATGGCGGTGATAGCTGTAGCGGAGGCAGAGGCAGAGGCAGAGGCGGAGGCGGCGACAGTGACAGCAGTGATGGTAGTTGTTACAACGATGGTAGTGATGGTGGATGTTGTGAGATTATAGCAGTGTGTTTTGCTATTAATGTATAAATATTTATAAATTTAGTTAAAATTAAATAAATTTTCTATCACTTACAATTTTTTTTTATTTTTTAGCCTACATTTTTTAAACCACTTAAATTTAAGTGATTATATGATTATCAAAGCGGCTTAATTGATTTTCAATTAATACATTCAAATTTTAATTCTTAACGCTAAATTAAATTATTAAATATTATCTTAAATAATTTAATTAATTTACATTTCTCAATAAAATACCTTGGACTTTACTAGTAATACTATAAATAAATATAGATGTATGTATAAATGATAGGTTCGCCGAATACAGTAGCAGCACAAAATTTGTGCAATACCAGTACTAAAATTAAAATACTGACACCATTCACGCCCGCCTTACTATTGCACAGCACAGGTTCTTTGCCTGAATTAGTTACCCAAAAAAAAAGCAAATAGTTCAAAACCATATTCTCATAATGCATTCTTGTCTAAACAACTTCAATTAGATTACACTGCCACCTTAATTTCTCTCAAATTAGTAGACAGCATAGGCATATGTTGATTTTTAGGCCTATGTTATTTCGTTAAAGTTTATATTTGCACCAACCACATGTACCTGAATCTCATATCTAACAAAATTCTACCACACCAACTGTCAAGAATCACAACACTTAAAAACTTCTGCAGCCATGCACAAGCCAGTCCATTAAAAATCAAATCAAATCATCATCAAAGTCAAATATGCTTAGGCATTTTTACAAATGACATAATGAAGAACTAGTGATTGATGCGCCATTCCTCAAGTCTTACACCTAGCTACGGACGTTCCTTACCTGAATGCCCTCCTGCCTGCCTGCGTATGTTCAGCACTTTGGGAGAAAGTCAAGACTAGTTTTTTACTACCATCAACCACCTGCCATCTGCCAAGCCCAATCATCAACCATAACCCAAATTCCATCCCATCCCAACTTGCTCAAAACTTTCATCCCCAAACTTCTAACTTAGAACTCCAATGATCACAATCTTACTCCAATAATGCAAATGTGAATGCTTGCCTAGTTTGCAAAATTGGATTCTGATTATACCATTCTCCAATTACTCTTCAGTTTCTAAAGCAACTACTACTACTACTACTACTACAAATCAAAAGAGACCGACATGGATGGATTCAGAGAACTATCCACAAAAAGAAAATGGAGGCCGCTACAAGGCCCAAGGATCTTCGGATGCAGCCAAATCTCCCTTGAGCACCACCATAGTACGGCTCAATCATGATATCAAATGTGCAAGGATCAACTGATGGATCTGTTTTAGTGACCATGGCAAGGCCTGCAAACTTGCAGGCCTCGTCAAGCTGATTATTCCTTTGGTAGTAACTGTTAAATGCATACGAAATGTTCCCCCGAGCATCCAAAGTTCCACAAGATGTCCCATAACCAAGCTTTGTGCAGTCAGCAAGTCCACAAGCGTAGCTCACACTCAATGCCACTTGCGGATCATCAAGTTTGGCCCCTGGCTTCATCACACACCACTTCTTCTCTAGGTATTGCACATTTTTTGCTGGAATTAAAGCTCCGGAATTTGTTGTACCAAGGTTAAGTGGATATTTGGCCCTTCCATCATAAGTAAATATCCCCCAATGTCGTTCAAAATTCCCAGGTTGGATGCTTTTTGCATCCTCATCAATTAAGCTAAACAAATAGGCATCAATGGGCCCAGGTCTCATTGGAGTTCCTTTCCCGCCTGATATATGGGACATGAACCCTTGGTTGAAGCGCTCAGCATAGGCAATGTTAGCATTTCGGTCCCCATCGGTGGGCCAACCAATTTCTCCAACTATTATAGGCAAGTTTCCAAACCCATTCCTCTGTAGGGCCCACACAAGAGTATCATGATTTGCATCAAACATGTTGTAATAATTAGTCCCACCATCATTTATAGGTGATGCATTCCCATCGAAGAAGGCATACTCAACTGGGAAGTTGGCGTCCGTATAGAGGCTTATGAAAGGATAGATGTTGACAGTAAAAGGGGCACCATTATCACTAAGGAACTTGACAATGGCAAGCATGAGATCACGGATGTCAGTTCGGAAGTCTCCACCAGACGGAACACCACTTGAGCTCGCATAGACATCAGCATTAAGGGGTACTGTGACCTTAACTTGATTACTAAGACCAGCTTTTATCAGGGCAGATTGGACATTTTGGAGAGCAGGGAAGGTTGTTTTGAGAAAGCTCCCATTGTATGATGCCAAGAAAGGTTCATTCCCAACTGCAACATACCTGTAAAATCAGTAAAGAGTCGGTTTAGTGGAATGACGGTCAGACAATGATAGGGAATGAGAAGTACACGATAAAGCACACAAAAAGGTAACAACATTGACCAAAACTAAGTCATAAGCAAACCATAGTTGTCAGTATACATTATGTGGATGTTTGGGAAGTGGCTATTTTAGAGGTTTTTTGGCTATTTTAGTAGGCTATTTTAGTTTTTGTGTTTGGGAAGATAGGATAAATTTTTATTTGAGTTGGATGTATTGAAAAATGTGTTGAAATGATGTTTGAAGTTAAAATGACAAATTTGTCCCTAACTTCACATTTTTCAAAATTAATTCTAAGGGGTAAAATTGTAATTTAGCTACCTGTCACTGTGACAGCGGTAGGACTGTCACAGTGACAGCCACTGCCGGCCTATTTTTATTTTTTATTTTTTTTTAAAACTTTTGGTTTAGGAGCTTTTAGGCTAAACTTGTTTTTGAGGCTATTTTAGCCCCAAATCTAGGTTCCCAAACACCCCCAGTACGATCTTAATTGATTTTTCTACAATGATTTAAAATAAGAAAATATGACAATACAAACAATCTAAAAGCTTAATCATAGATCAAATACACTAAAAAATGGCGAAGCTAATTCAATTCATTATTGTGAATTTTTATTCATGTCCCTAAACTAAAGCACCAATTACATTTAGTGTTCGCATTTTCCCATTACAAAAATAGTTATATGCCGAAATAAGGATCAAATATGACTAGATAGTAGATAGTCCATAGGTCAATCAAGCATCCAAATTCAAGCAAAAAGCCCTCTAACATTGTTATGCCTGTTTTGTTTGGCAATCCTGTTGGACAAAACACCATTCAATTATAATTGCATTTGTTCTTTTTCATTTGTAAGGATGAGAGTGTTTTAGATCGAATTCAACCCAGTGTTCAAGCAGAGAAATGTGCGCTTGAGCACATAAAGTTGCCCGCTCAAGCGGTCAAGTCAGTCTTGCAGCTTCTCAAAGTCTCATAGACATATCTTGCAGAGTCATAATGTGTACTCGAGCACAGGAAATTGCGCTCAAGTGGTCTAATATGTGCATTTTTGGATCAGATCGTTGTTGAGACTCTTAGATATTATTCATCCCTAACTATGAAGCACAGACACAAGACATGGTGATTTCAAAAAAATTGGGACACAACCACGGTAGGGGACACGGCAAAAAAAATTTTAATATACATATATTTGCTATGTAAATTAATATTATATTACCAAACAATCAGAATTAATAAAAAATAATATTAATTCAATATATATAAACCACTACATTTAAACAAATTAATAGTTCATTCACATTTGGGACACGTGTCCCCTGCAAAAAATAAAATAAAATTAAAGGGGCATGCCATTTGGTGTGTCCCGTATGTGTCCCCAACATGTCCCCTGCAAAAAATTAATAAAATTAAAGGCATGCACCATTTGGCGTGTCCTGTATGTGTCCCCATGTTCGACACCACTACGACCCCTATTTTGAAGTATTTGTGCTTCAAAGATCCCAAAAGTGCGAAAAACAAAAAGAAGGTGCTTTAGGGTGATTATCTGTATACCTTGATGATTTGAGTGAGATCTATTGATCTATAGGCTATGTATTGAATATCAAGGGGTTTTGATTACAAATTCAACATTCGAGAAAAGATCTCTTCAGTGGATTATGGAGAACTTGAGCTTGGAAGCTTTAGTAGATTCCAAAGTGGCTCATCATTAGGGATTCAACATTGGCATCGTGGATTCGACATTGGAGAAGAAATTCCGTGGTAAAGATGGCGTTGGAAGAGGTACAAGGGGGTTGAGTCAATCATGCATGAATTCGCTAGGTGATTGTGTGAAAATTCCTTCTGTACTTTCCTATTCTTCTTAGTGGATTGCTTTGGTGCCATTGGCCTGTGGTTTTTTCCACAATTATATGTGTTCCAATTGTGGTTTTCCCTGTATAAAATGATTGACTATTGTTGTTGATTGAGAGTAGATATAATTCAATTCACTTACAAAGATCTATGATTGTTTTATTGGGAATTGTTATAATTAAATCATACTCACAAATCAATATCTCAGACGGAATTATTAGCTTTTTCAAACATGATTTTAGATTTTTCTTATTGATCATCATATGAAGAATATCGTTCCAGTATGAGTTGTTCCATGTCATCTTGCCCTTCATAATCATCTATAGTTGATAATATATCACATATCATCTAATGATATAAGGACAACATAGTGACACAAATAAAATTTAATGTTTATGTTTCATTTCTTACCTTCTTTTTCCCCTTTTGCTTCAAAAGCAACTTATGTACAAGGGAGGGGCATGTAATTTGCCCCCTTTTTTTTTCTTTTCATTATCTATGAAGAAATTATTCATATATTTGATATATAATAAAATTTAAAAAATATAAATTTTTAATGTGCCCTAAGCGTATTGTGTCTTGCATTTTTTTGAAAACCAACGTGTCGGCGTGTATGTGTTGTGTCCCGTGCTCGACACGTAGGAAGCATACAAACAGTGTAGGTGATATTAATATGCTTCCCACTTGTCAACTAAGTAGCACAAACATGAACACGTGACACAAAACAAGACACGCCAACACGTTGGTTTTCAAAAAAATGAAAGACACAATACGCTTAAGGCACATTAAAAATCTATGTTTTTAAAATTTTATTATATATCAAATATATAAATAATTTCTTCACATATAATGAAGGGGAAAAAAAGGGCAAATTACATGCCCCTCCCTTGGTAATTACCCAAATTACATGCAGCCCCACTAGTATGAAAAAAAGACAATGGCCTCCCCTAATGGGCTTCAAAAGTTAACTCTATTAACCAAAAATGTAAAATGACAAAAGTAACCCTGAGAGATGGGTCAACCCATGAAAAACAGGTCGAGCCTCAATTATTTCTCTCTTCCCTTCAAAGATCGCACAGTGCCTCTCTATCTCTACCCTTATAACTGAACCACCACCAGCCACGGCACCGCCACACGCTACTCCTAAGATACGATCAACTTCCTCTTTGCTAACACCAACCTCTGAAATCGACGAACCAGGATCAACATCACTAGTGTCATCGCCAAGTGCACCCTTTATAGAAGTTGTAGACCGATTCTTCCCAATCTCCCTCTACCTCGAAGGACCTCGAGAACAGGCAAAACCGCCTGGGCCAGAAGTCTCGGACGACACAATTACTTCTCCGGCAGAATAAGCTTCAAGGACTACGACCAAGACGCCGTCTACAACGTGATAGACGACATCAAATACTCGACAGTCCCTACCAAATTAATGAAGAATTTAGTAGGCTGCCAGAGAGATTTCCATGTATTTGTTAAGTTCCAACCAGATCTCACTATTAGAGGAGGAATTCCTTGTATTTTATTAACAAATAGGGACATTAGTTGGTTAGATGCAATGTCCCCAAAAATGAGAGAATGGTTTGATGTTAATGTAACCACTGTCATGATTAATGAAAAATTTTATTAATTTTATTTATGAAACCACTCAATTTTATTTGCTTACTACATTTCCCTTATCATCAACTATTACATCTTGAGTCACATCACTATTTTTTACACTGATGATTAAATTTCGTAAAACATTAGAAAATTCTACTGCATCCATAACAACTGATCCTCTACGATCAACTTCCTCTTTGCTAACACCAACCTCTGAAATCGACGGACCAGGATCAACATCACTAGTGTCATCACCACCTCTGCGTACATCAATCTCTGACAAACTCAGACGACCTCTGCGTTCATGAATAACTGAACCACTTTCCCCAAAACCACCTAACAACAAATCTCTTCGCCTCTCCGGTAAACCAACAGACTTGGTCCGTGTCAGAATCGGAATGGCCTTCGTTGGAGGACAATGCCAGACATCAACATTATCATTAGTATATTTTTTAGATAACACAACAATAGAGGGGGCCCTCATTTGCGAATCTTCTGGCATGTCACTCGTAGAATACTTCAGATACCCCTTCATTTTACAATACGTAACTCCCCTTTTAATATTGGAATTTTCAAGTCGATACTTCACCATCCATGGCACCTATTTGTCGTTAATTGAACAATAACCATTCCCACAATAGACTAACTCGCATTGACAATCTACTGGGAAAATAAACCATGCCTGCAAACTATCATTACCGTCTAACCTCCGATCATAAACATTTACTCTGACCAACCCACTAGCATTGGGTGCTCAAAGTGGGGAATATTTTATCAATATTTTATCAACCTTAATACTTTTTTGTTTATATCTTAACCTCAATTGAGAAAATAAATTAGGCAACGCAAGTTCAATACAACTGAAATCACTTGCCGAAAGACCTTCAACAACCCCAGTTTTTATATCGTCGACCTCCATTAACCTGAACATTAAAAATAAAAATACATCAAATTACAATTCTAAACAGTTTTAAAGTACATTTGACTCCTTAAAGTAATTTTGCATTCCTTTCCACTAACAGTAGCAGCCACTAAATATATGGCACCAACACCAGCCCTTCTCTCACCATGTCATTACTTCATCCCCTCCCTCTACCACTACTCCCACGACCTACATCATTGCCGCTTAGTAGATTGATCATCCGTTGCCAAGCGATCCCCGGCTCAGCAAATCACAACCTTCACGACCTTCATTGTCGCCACCACCATCAAATCACAACCCTCTGCTTTGCTTGGTTTGATTTTGTTAGAGGCGAGTGGTCGAGTGGTGTGTTTCTAGTTTGATTGGCTTGATTTTCTTCTCTCTCAATCACAGCCACGACAGTCGACCTCTATTTCTGTTCAATTTCTCTCATAAGTTTGCTTTTATTTTTGCTATTGTTTACTTTAGATAGTAAAAGAACATAGGGACTTTCTTATATATTGATTATATCAGGCTAGATATGTAATTATGTATGCTAAACTTTAACTAATTTAATAATGGTTATTTTTATGTTTTCAATCAATATTGTCCAT